AGTGTCAAAGTAGGTTTAAATAAGTATATTGGTCAGTTAAATAGGTTCAAAGTATCTTCAAAAGTTTGAAAGTAGCATCAAAATTTCGACTCGGGCATTTTCTAACTAAAAAATTCTTTCTCTATTTTATTGATTCACTTTTTGTTTTATATGTACATGGTATACCCTACCTAAAAATTAAAATAAATATGTATTTTTTTTTGATAGGAAGATGAATCGTAGATATTATGTTGTCTATGTATGTAATAATCGGAAGTTCTGGTAAAAGTAGTTTGTTGTTGCAAAGGATATATCTTTTCACGGGCGATAAATTTGCAAAATCAATGTTCCGATTTCTCGCTTGTTTGCATTTCCGCTTTCGGAAATGCAGCGGTAGTTATTAGTACATTCGGCGTATTCTCTCATTACACATTTATATGTTGTATCGCGGGCACACGTGTGTGTGCGTGTGCAATAAGGAACATAGACGGTCCATTCAGCTTTATGTGCCCGATGTACATGTCGTCCACATTAGGCGCGCATTAATTTAAGACACCAACACATACGCGGAGAGCGCCGCTCGCGCTTGCTTTCTCGCCGCAATAAAGAGGACCCTTCAAGACCCTCTCTATCTCTCTCTTTGTTGAACACCCTACGCTCGCCCTTTTACCACATGCACACCTTCGTTTGCCGCACACCTCGAGACGACGTGACGCACGGCGCGACTCGACGAGACCGATGGGCGGCACCGAAGGGCGCCTCACGCGAAGCAACATTCATTATATATGTATACCTCGGACTGTGTACACCTCGTGTATATACCACTTGTACTTGTCGGTTGCATTCTACAAGATGTTTCACGACCCATTGTGTCTTGCGGTGAACTTTTAGTTTGAGGTATTTCTCTCGTACGCGCAGATGCGACGACAAAATTTCATATTCCTTACGTTGCATACAAATATATCTTATCTGTGTGTATCTCTATCCGTATTAAAAATCTCTCACAAATTTATTTATACAAAAATTTTTTTATTAAAAAGTTTGTGAAAGTTTAGATAATTGCATTACGAAACGAGAAATTGCTCACTTGGAAATGTAATACAAGTGATAGCGCTCTTGCATTTATCTTTTTGATAAGAGAATAATTTCTCATTGCATATTCTCTCTCTCTCTCTCTCTCTCTCTCTCTCTCTCTCTCTCTCTCTCTTTCGTTATCTTCCGTTTTAGTATGTACGTTTCCACGGCTTATGTTACACATACATTCTCTCTCTCTGTCTCTTTTTCTCTTTCTACAAAGGTTTAATATTTAGTAAATTATGCAGATACTGGTGACACACAAGGAAGCTGGTTATTCTCGTCAGTAATTAAATATATGACTACTAATATATGCAACGGGAAACGTGACGGAAATTTCCAATTACCGCAGGCAATACATCGCGAAACGTTTATATATTTCGCAAACTTCTCTGTTCGTTCGTTACGATATTATCATGCACGTACATACAAATGTCTGCACAATGTGCAAACTTCTATATGCGCACATATAGAAGTTTGCTTGAAACAATAGCGGACCGGAAGCAAAAATGTCGAGCTTCGATGCACGATAAAACCATTTTTTTTTTTTTTTTTTCAAAGAAACTTATCATCCGGTAAAAACTTAAATATGATAGATAGATCAAAAAATAGAATCTTATTTCATTCTTCTTTTTATTTTTGTACTTGCGAACGCAGGAAACAAACAATCTATTGTCGCTGCGAATATACGAAAATAATCGACGAAGAGATTTCATATCGACAGCATTTGCGCCGACGTTATTTTGCCGATGTCAGACTTGACTGACACCGGATTTGAAACGATAGAATATGATATACATTCGTTAAAATGTCGAGCAAAATATATCGCTGACCGAATTAGACATCCGGTAAATAAATTCGAAATTTGTCAATAAAATCTGTGTTGTGATGACGTAATCGTAACATCCGCTCTGTTTCTGATTTATTATTCTGAATTATTTAATTCCACAAAGAACGGAAGAAAAAAAGTGTTTCTTTGCATTCAAATAGAAAATAAAATATGTAACAAATATAAAAAAAAATATTCGTAATATAAATCTTAATCTAACCTTAATCTAAGAGCGGAGTCTTTCATCTTAACGTTGCCATAGTTCTTGGTGTTCTCCTCAAAGCAGTTGTATTGTTTCGTTTATTCTTGCGCGCTCTCTCTCTCTCTCTCTCGCGCAGACCAAAGACACTTTGGAGAACAATCGAAGATATAAACAAAACAAAAAAAAAACCGCTGTTCATTTACAAGTGAATGGTTCCTCTTTCAAAATCTAAATAATATGTAAACTGTTACCGCTGGATAAAGTACATGTGTACGTATACCATAGATTTATGTATAGATGTAGCATTTACTCCGATTTAACTCGTGTAAAGAGCGTGATGTCATGGCGTCGTTCTGAAGACTGCCATATTGTGAAAACAACGACACTAGCACACCTACACAAGACGCATAGAACCAGAGAGAAAACTTAGAATGGCCACAGAACCATATGAAAAACTGTAATAGCTTTTCCGCCCTGTAAGCGCTACGTCCATGGGTAGTGCACATTGGCAACTACGTAGCCACGTCCACAAACGACTTGTCGGTACTTACGTATTGTTCAAACGTAGACATGGTTCTTTTCCGTGCTGAGTGCACAAGTCCAAGTACTAAACAGAGAGAAGTATAAATAAAGACTAAGATACAAGGACTGCGATGCCTGATACTACACTTATACGCCTGATACTTGAAGTAAAAATTATCACTACTTTTAGAGCTCGTCAAGACGAGCCTTCCAACCACGTGGTCAGTTTTTCGATTCTGACACTTTTTGAAAGTGATAAAATTGCATTTAACATCAGCAGCAGAAGCTGAAAGAGCAACTTACAAATCTTTTGTATGTTTAATTCAACATCTGTTGTATGACAATGTCAACTTTATTTAGAAAGCAATAATTGGAATTAGATTATTAGAAATATGTCGTGCGCGCAATTTTAACAGATCGCTCAAATTTGCGCGTCGCACGACGTGATAGCAGCTATTTCCGCAACCGCTGCGCCACTGCGCGGAACGCGGTTACGTAGCGCGCGTTCGATATCCGGCCACGTTAAAATAGCTTGTTTGAGAAGGGGAAACACTGCGTTCTTGCGTTGGACGAAGAGATCGAATCCGCCGAAAAAAAGTGGAAGGTGCTCTCTCGATTTTCCAAGTTTCAGAAAGTTTCTTAAATGCGCGCGGACAGATTTAACGAGTGACACGACACGACGTGAGCGTCGTCGACGAACCGACACACCAACGATGAATTGCTGGCCGGCTTTGCTGTCGCTCTTCTCGCTTCTAGGCACATTTCTGCTCGCGGGCGGCGTCGAGCTAACCTTCGAGCTGGCCGACAATGCCAAGGAGTGCTTTTACCAGGAGATCGAGAAGAACGTCACGTCTACGTTGGAATTTCAGGTTCGCACTGTTGTCAAGTATATTTACATGTAGCTTCGTGCGCGTTTCGTGACGCGCGCGATGTCACGTTCGTGACATCATCGCGGTGCATCATCAGAAGTTCACGGCACATTCCGTGACATTTGTCCGCTTGCGTGGCTGAATTAACAAATGAATAATGCAAATACGCGATAATGCGAATGATGCAAATGACGAACAAAATGACACAAATAATGAGAAAAAGTTTTGTTTGAATATAACATAGCACGATGTATTATTATTAGAAACTTAAATGACATTGTGAACTCTGGCCTCAATTCAGATTTATTTTTCTCTTTCTCTGTTTGCACATTTCTTAATGAAATATTATTTTAAATGTATAACCTTGCTACCTGGTTTACATTGTTTATGATAACCATGCTTTTTTGATTTTAGGTGGTCACGGGTGGCCAGTATGATGTAGACGTTACATTAGAGGCTCCTAATAAGGAGATCATTTATAGTCAAGTAAAAACACAATTTGATTCACATACTTTTGTACCAACCATGTCCGGAATATACAAAGCTTGCTTCAGCAATGAGTTTTCTACTTATTCCCACAAATTGGTATATATGGATTTCCAAGTTGGCGAGGAACAATCTCTTCCAGGACTTGGGGAACATGTCACAGTAATGACTCAGGTCAGTTATTTTGGCAAACAAAGCATAAATAAATATAAAAAAAACCAACAAAAATATTTCTTACAGATGGAGTCTTCCGCCCAAGAAGTGCACAAAAATTTAATTAGCATCTTGGACTATCAGACACATCATCGTCTGCGTGAGGCTCAGGGTCGCAAACGTGCAGAAGAGCTCAACGAGCGAGTGCTTTGGTGGTCGATATTAGAGACTGCTTTCATTCTGTTCATTGGCATCGGACAGGTGTTGATTCTCAAGAATTTCTTCACGGATCGCAGTCCTTCTCAGAGTTACTAGTGATTACAAAGATTAAGAAGAATGGAACTCTCTCATTTGTGTTCTCGAGATACACGATCGTTGTAGATCAAATTTGTCCTAGTGTGACCATCGTCATTTTCATCGTTGATCTAAAGTGCCATCGTAAGAATCTCTCGTCGGTAACAACATCATGCCTCTGTTGAGGAAGAGCATTCCTTGATCAGAATTCTGAAAAAGGGCGTAAAATGATCTTTTTTGCGCGTGCCACGGACGTGTGTAATATCACATAGTAATAATTTACGTGGCCACGGACAAAACATGGGTGCTGATACAACTCTCGAGGCGATTAAAAGGGGACAAGTGCAAGCAATAAAACTCTTACACATCCCTCTTTCGATGGACACTCTGAAGTCGTACTTATACTGGCGTATAGACAGTATATAACATGAATGGGACATGAACGTCATGGTTTTCTTACTGTGAATGTGTAACATAATAAAATTAGATTTGTGTGTATTTATGTCTACTCGTTGCTGTATCGCCAAGCGATACGATTGATTCCTGTCTCTTGTCGGGCTTCTTCCGTTATTTATCTTACTTTAGCATAAAAAGAAAGAGAAAGAGAGAGAGAGAGAGAGAGAGAGAGAGAGAGAGAGAGAGAGAGAGAGAGAGAGATAAAAACTACTATCCAGATAAATGAATTTATGATTTGGTTTTCATTATCAATCGAATGTGACGCAACAGTTTTTTGTTTCTATTTGATACGTTATTAGTTCTTCATGGAATAAGCGTAATAAGTACCATGCAGGTGGCAATTATGGCCGCCGTATTCACGTTTCGTATGCGACAGGTGGTTTTTTGCTGAGTATGCGTTATTTGATTAGCGTGTCCACTAATACGGAAAAACAGACAGCGAGGGATAATCGTTCAGTAGTCCACACAGACATCGACTAATAACTTGATACACAATATCATTGAGTCGACAATCTTGTAACAATCTTGAATGTGTTTTACAATAGATTCTAAATTTATATAAGTGAGACTTTGTGAAGAATAAAAATAAAACATTTATAAGTCTGACGTACAGCACTTGTCGAACTGCCACTGTTTTTCTAATCGGATGAAGATAATACACAAAATAAATTACATAAAAATATGCTCAATTTTGTATTTCTATAATTTTTGTGTTTTGTTTCTTTATTATTATTTACGTGCCATGATCTTTCTGTGCTTTATTATTATTATGTGCTAAAATCTTTATTTTCTGCGTTGTTTTGTTATGTAAAATAAATTTATGTAATTAATAATAACTTACTGTTAAGTATTCTCTTTGTTTTTATTCGAGTGTGCTAAAATTTTCTAATTTTAGCAATTCGCTACATTTATCAGAATTTCGTAACTTACATACGTGTCACTGTCATTATCACCGAGAGACAGCCGTTGTTGGAGACATTTGGAATCTGTCACTTTTCACATTGACACGCCGCGTTTGTTGAGCGTGTAACAGCTGTTATAACCTGTTATAGTTTCTTCTCTACCGAGGTGAAACATATATAAGCTACTGTTGAGAAATTTGTGCAATTTTGCAATATGCAGGTAAACAATCGTAAAATGTTTGAAAATTTATTTTCGATGCAACAAGTTTTTGTTACTTTTGCGTGAGAAGTAAAATCCACGCACACGTGATACTTCTCGAATTTTAGGAGCAAGATATACCAATTGACATCAACACCGGGAAATTGTTGGATTGGCTGATTAATCGAAGACACTGTAGAAAAGACTGGCACGCGAGTGTCCTGCCTATTAGAGAGAAAATTAATAAAGCAATACAGGATATGCCCGCTCACGATGGCATCGTCTCTTTGTTATCCGGCGCGTGTAAGTAACGTCAAGTTAGTTCCCAATTTTAACTTCGCTTCAACAATTTTAACAATCGTGCGAGTGTTGAATTCTATTTCCTTTTTTTATAGATATCAATTATTTTTATTGCGTGAAGATTGTGGAAATCTTGAAGGAAACAGAAGCAGATACAAAAAATTTATTTGGACGTTACGGGTCGCAAAGAATGAAGGATTGGCAGGAGATATTGCGAATGTACGAGAAAAACAACGTGTACCTTGCCGAAGCCGCGCAAATTCTCACGAGAAATGTCAGTTATGAAGTTCCCAATATTAAAAAACAGATACAGAAGTTAGAACAGACAATAACGGTAAATAAATATCTACATTTTTACAAACACTGTCAGTGTAATTATTTGTACTACGTGTATATATATTTTGTACTTTTAGGATTTTGAAAAAAAGGAAACAGAATATAAAAAATCAGAGAACATCGCGCGCTCAGAGTATAATACGATGTGTAAACAATTAGGAATAACTGGTTATAGTACTGTCAGACGTGAGTTAATGGAAAAAGTTAAAGAACTGCCAGAGATTTATCAGAAAATAGCGGAGAAGACGAAAAATTTGGATAAAGTTGTGGAATTTTACAGTGCGTTCGTTGAATTTACTTTCGGCCAACAATGCTATAACGATTGCGTACCGATTATTAAACATGTGATTGGTGAGTTATTCGTAAAACTTATTGTAATAGCATGTTTGAGAGAAAAATTATACAAGTGTGACAAATTGTTAAACATTATGTTTAAAGAAAAAGGAAACACAACAATGTTCGAATACACTTACGGAGAAGTGCCAACATCGATAATCGAGCCGCCGTTAAACATAAAAGCGGATGAGGATGAGAATAATGAGAGAACCAGTGCGAATGCGGACGTCAATGTATAAATATACGGTTTTTTTTTTTAACAATCATCTTTTTGATTTCGTTATTATTTCGAATGTCCATTGCAGACCATCGACTTCGGCAACTTGGATCTGGACGCACAAATTGATTTTGACGAAGTCAGTCCGAGCGCAGAGGGCGATATTGATTGGGGAGAAGACGTTGCAAAACAACCTGCGGAGGAAATAGATTACAACATATCGGAAATAGATTACGATATATCGTTGGAAGAATCGGGTATAGTTGTAGAGGCGGCAGGTCATGAAGGTGGTGTAGCCACGGGATGCAATGCATATACAATATTAGACAATCCGACGACAAGATCGGAATTTATCGATCAATTGTTTGAGGTACAAATGTCGTATAGAGATACAATTTGAGAAAACATTGTTTCTATTCTTGAATATAAATGAATATTTTTTTATGAATAGTTGGAAGCGTTTATGAAATTGCGTCTGTACGAGTTCAAAAGCGACGACAAGAATAACCTCTTGAGCTTCAGTCAGATGCAAGATGCTTCCCCTATTTTGCAACTTTCTACCATAGAAACCACTCAGAATATGCTGGACAATGTTCAAGTTGTTCTCTACGAAATGTTGCACAACAATGTCCAAAATTTGCATAACATCAAACATTATCCGAGGTACAGTTAATTGAATCACTATTTTTAAATTGATATTTAATAATTCTTACAAGTCTATGTCTGTTTAAATTGCAGATACGTGGACACAGTGGCTGCCAACTTGAAACAAAAATTAAATCAAATCGATAGAATGGTGATTCAGCAAAACTCTATGAGACAAATGCAGGTAGACGCGCAAAATAAAATTGAGAAATTGCATCCGTTGCTGAGGCTTGTTATACAAAGAACCAAGGAATTGCAAGCAGAGGTATATCTTATTTTCGCAGCATTGTCTTTTTTTAAATGAAATTTGATTATTGTTTTATACTTTTTTTTAAATCTAATTACAGATAGAGCAAGACATTTCCAAACGATACAAGAACAGAACGGTACATCTGACCGGAGGTGTAAATACAATGTAGTTAATAATAAGAAATTGTTGAAAAAACTTATTATTTTTATAATGTATATAAAAAAATTCTAAATTAAAAAACAATATAATCACTTCCTTGTTGTATAAAATAAAATAGTACGAGTGTTTACTCTTCCATAAACTTTATGAGTCTTTATTCTTCTGTAAACTTTAATATTGACGAAACAGGTTTGCGTATTAGAAATTATATATTATAGGCGTTATAAAACTTGAATTTGCAAGATTAATCAGACATTTTTTCGTTGCTTAACATACTTGCGCAATTTAATGTTCGCTTTCGATATAACGGTCGACACGAGTCTCTGAACGAGTGCGCACTCTTTTGTTGAAAATAAATTAAAGAGCAAATCTTATCTCATATGAGACAAATTGAATTTGTCGTAATTTTATAAAATGTCTGTTATTAAAAAAACGCAAATAACGTTAATAAACTATATTACACAACGTCATATTATCATAAAGAGATTTTGCACGAGTCTCCAGGCTGACGAGGTACAAACTGCTTTGGTGGTGGGGCAAGGATATCTCTTCAGGCACTCGGCTAACGAGCGATCACATTCGCACAAACGCTGAGCACAGGATCCCGATCCTCCCCAACTGCCGTGCTCAACCGCTGTAACAAAGATTTCACGGACTACTTTTTACTGTCGCGTATACGTCGTGCGTTATATATTTACACACAGTAAATGTAAGCGAGTAAATCAATTATTGCGCGATTTTTGAAAGAAATTGTCGTAAAAAAAGCAAGTCTTAAAGCAAAATTCTTCGCTAGATCATAGAAAAAAACAAAATAATAAAAACGAACCGCAAACAGGTTTGTAACCGTGATAACATCTCCAGTAATACGGAACGAAGTACTCCGAGAACATAGCACATTCTGTGGCATCGTAGCACCAATCGTGCATCTTACAGCACCTGAAACATGTCTTGTTTTTGTGGATTTTGCAAAAGTATTTCGCAAGAACACATTTTAATTTTTAAAACTAATATTTCTCGCTTGTTCTCGATTGTAGATAAAACGCGACATACTGATCGATGCCGTCGATTACATAGCCGGATCCTAGAAATCCGCAGTAGCATCCGTATCCTTTGTAAGCCAAAGGATTACATCCCGTGGCGCATACTACCATATTGTAAAGATGTATCACCCCTCTCTTGAATCTAGTATGACTCGTCTCTTTCCCGTTCATCCTAAAGTCGCGTAAAAACGTGTTGTATGTCAAATGTATTTAAAAGTTATCCAAACGTTTTTTTGAGTAAATTAAGAATTTGTGATTTAAAATTCAATCAAAAACAAATTGTTTATCAATATTCTCTGATTTGGTTTTATAAGTAATTAAATTTACATCGAAGATAACGTCGCGTTACTTACGCGACTTGCTGCGCTCTCGTCGTGTCGTTCTTTGTCGTGGTTATCGACGACGACACGCGCACACGAATGTCTTCCTCATAATTAAGCGACGAAGCGCTCCACGGATCACCGCTACGACCGATGTAAATATTTCCTTGATTTTCGTCATCTTTTATGTCATTATACGTGTGCGAATAATCATATTGGCGCGTTCCGACGCCTCCGAGAATCTTATGAACATCTGGCGTACCGTTACCTGCAAGTGCCGCATCATGTCCTGATAAACCAAATCGTACAAACATAAATGTCGGCAATCGCGTGAATATAAAATATAATTAACAGTTATGATCACAGCTTATCAACGTGCATTACGTTAGTTTTGAGTCAGAACAAAGTTTAAGTAAGATTCTCACTGTTTTTTTTTTTATTCTCACAAAGAAAATTAGCATATTAATTAATTAATTAATTTTATGAGGAAAAATGCAGTAATAAATTTTTGAAAAATTTATTTTATTTTACTTTTACATATTTACATTTTTTTTTTTTTATATGCGCGCTTATTACTTTCTATACACGAAGAGAACAAAGTAGAGAGTGTACTGTTTTCACGTCTTTCTCTCTCTCTCTCTCTCTCTCGCTCTTTCTCTCGAGAAAAATAATATCTCTAATAATTTCAGCTCACTTGTATGAGTACAAAAGTGCGTGTATCTTTCGATCCATGGCGTGCCGAGAACCATGCGTACTTTTTCTGCGTGTACAACGACGGTTTCCCTAACCGTCAGGAATCGTATTTCACCTTTTTGATCTGAGACCCACTCAGCGTAAAACTACTCTCATTTATCCCACTTCTGACCGTTTTAACGGTTTCTCGGCGATCTTCCACAAATGCCGGGAAAATTGCAGCGCATCCGTTTCTTCGTTCGAACAATCGCACGACGCAAAAATATCGTTATTTTCGATTTCACTTTCCTAATTAAGTCTTTCTTAGAAAAGACTTTAGACTGGTAGAAACCAGAATTTGTGGCAAGATACGTTAATTATCTCTGAAATGGATCATGTGATCTTCACCCATAAAGTAGTTTTTTTTTTTTCGATAGTGTAATGCGGATAAAACGTCTACACGTGCAGAAGATTAGATTAATGTTTTGCAAAACTGAACTACGCAGCAAAAGAGTTGGTTTTCTTTATAGAAGTATATAAGTCCTTTGTGCGTGTGTGTGTGTGTGTGTGTTTTGAAATATATTCGCGTGAGAGAGAGATAACCTCTTACAAAAATTCAAATAAAACACTCGTGACAGAAACTGTTCGAAAGATTCTCTTTTACATTTTAATTACATAAGGACTTTATGTAAATTTATTACATAAAACTTTTGTGTATGTATTTTATTATATCACTGTTTTATCATAAGTGATTTGACTGAATATTATAAAAATTATTATTTTTATAATTACTCTTTTCTTGAAAATTGTTTTCGATAATGTCATATTAGTGTCACTTTTATACAGATATCAGAATGTTCTCGAAACCTTGATGAAATTATCAGAAATGTGCATGAAACGTCGGTGTAAAAATGACTTGAAACCTTCAAGAATTCTTTTAACACACCGCGAAAGTATCAAATATATATATATATATCTCTCTCACTCTCTTATTTGATTAATTATAATTTAGTTTATTTACTTCCTCGAGAATTTCTTTATCAACATTTCGTATTCAACAAAGTGAATTGAACGATACATATTATATGAGATAATATTGCCGATGTGTAATGGTGATGCATCTTTTAATGAGCTAATTAGCAGGGCGTGTCTATGAGCGCGGAGGTATTGTGGTAGCGGTCCAGATAGCTGTAACGAATTACTGTAACTGTACACTCGTTACGGCCGACGTGTTTTGTAGAAGAAACTTGTGAAAATTACACAATTTATATATATATATATATATCACTCATCATCTTTCGGAATTGCTCAACGACAAGTAAATTGAAATCGCAGAAATAAAGTAATGCGATCGGAATCATGGCTTTTAAGCCGCGCTGGAATATAATAATCAACGATTGGCATCGTAATGCTTCGCAACATTAATTAGTCTAGATGCGGTGGTCTCTCGGTAATCCGTCGAACGCGATTCTCCCGTTTCATTCGCGGTTTCCATGGTGCAACCACGTAAAATTTTAATATGTTGAAGGTCTTCCCTTAACATCACTTGACGTGTAGGCAGACGAAGTAGACTTCCCGACGTTTATTAAACAAGATAAAAAAAGAAGATTTAATTAATGGAAAATATATAACGCAAAATCTTTCGAGAGAATCAACCGCTAAAAATAATTATTACTGGAAAGCAAATATTTGCTTGAAAAAAAAATGAAATAAATTTTTTCTTCGTGAAATTCGAGGGCGCGCAGCGAAGCACGAGTTTGGCAAACGATACGTAAATTGCAAAAATTGCGCTTGTGTTTAATCTATTGTACGTACGTTAATTGAATTTAATTAAGCAAGTTAATTACGTCTACTAGATGGATAAAATCATCTGGTTAGATTGCTTTGCGCGTCTGAATTGGGCGTTGGACAATTGTGTTGATCGTTGTTGGACGATCTTGTATGTAATGTGTGTGAAGCGACTTAATTATATACGGCTTGTTACTTTTCAGACGTGTGTATGTATTGTGTATGCACTTTCTTCGGAGATTCGTCCGCGGCGCTGACGCTTTGTGTGTGCCGGCGAAGTCAATTTCGTGACGTGATTAGAGGATGGGGGCCAAAAGTTACCCGTTATTAGCGAGAGATGAGACAATGAGATGCAGGTAGAAATTTTCCACACGAGGCTAATTGCACACGTCGCGTACTGCATAATTTATATACATATACATATTAAACGACAGAGCGCGGATGACGTGGTTGCGGAAATTAGGAAAGCGTGCACAAAAGTTTAACAAAATATTCTTAATGCGCTTTGTTTTTCCGAACAAAAGTTGAAAGTTCACACGACATCATTATTTACATCGTATTCCCGTATCTTTTTAACATTTCGAAGATTTATCTTTGATTTTCCGCACGCAAACGCGAGATTGATCTCTGTGAGGTGTTGGTAATAAAATACGAACACACACATGTAAAAAAACGAATATTGTTGCCTGAGTGGGAAGAAGGTAACAAAACACGTGAGATGCGTTATGGTTTACGTTTTACGTGAAATACAAAACGAAATGTTTCACGTTTAAATATAACATTACGCGAACACATCGATGAACATATATACGATTTTGAATATACTATTTTTAATTACTTATGTTCCCCGTATATTACAGTTGAAATATCGAGAAGTTATCAGATTAAATGCAATAAATCACTGATGGATCCTTTGATTATTTCGTCATGAAATTCAATAGATGGGTATCTAGTTTATAATTAACAAAATACGACGATGAATGTGATGTGAGCTTGCGTTATCAGATTTAATCTTCGTCTCAATTTTACACCTCTTTTTGCTGCAATTTCATCATTTGTTTTATCCGACATTTTATTTTTGTTTTGTTAATTCTCTCTGCAAGATCAATCAGATCTTTCTTTATTTACGTCGTATGAGTTCACGCGTGCGATATTTCCGAGCAATATGTTTCATTGCTCACCTCTGGCATCGCAATCGAGAAGACAGCCGAACAACAGGAGGACGCAGAGAATACTTTCGGGGAAGCGATGACACGATCGATCCATCGGCGGCGAATCGCGGACACGTGCAACGGAATCTTTGCGACACATCGGGCACGTTTTCACCGCCGGATCGAGTCCTTCGTGTCACCTGCGTGTCGTTCCTGCGAGACGCTGATCATCCGATGTAACAACGGTGCACCCGTGTAAGATGAAAAATCGCATCGGAGCACTGCAGTGGCGGGCGTGTCGTATCACGCGACTTCTCCGTTTGCGCGACGACGACGGTGGTTGTTCATTATCACGGCTGTTGAATATCCAATTCGCGGCGACGTAATTTCACACAACAATAATCGCGAATCACCCCGAAAGCCACGTGCCGATCCTCGAACAGGTCAGTTAACGCTCGCGTTTTTGCGAGCGTTATCCTTTTATCGTCTTCTCTTCGTCGCCGGGTGTAGATTGAAAACTGATGAACCGATCATTGTCGCGGCTGCGATATCTCCGCCGATATCTACACACAAAAGATATAATATTTTTTGCGCCGTCTCTGCGCGGGTTTTTTCATTGAAAACAATCCCGCTCCGGAAATTTAATAACGTTGTTGCGCCCGGACTTTTGTGTCTCGCGCGCGTTTGCGTTCTCTCTCGATTAACAAATCAATAAAGCGTACCGAAAAAAAAGTTTGCATCGCGCGTCGCGGAATTTACACAACGTTTATTGTGCACCAGTATGACGTCCTGCGAAACTAATCGCGCTCAATAATCCCGGGATTTTTGATCTGAAATCGTTTGTTATCGCGCCCGCAGTCCGATCATATCGGTCGCAATCAACTTCTCTTTGATTGGACGACTGTGTTTCCTCGTTGTTTGAACTTTGTTTCCAATCGCGCTTTGCCACAATTTATCTTGAAGTTTCTTCTTCTAGCGCGGCGAAGCACTTCGAGAGCTCGACGAAGTACTGACTGTTCTTATCAGACGGCACCGATTCGTCGTGTCCCTCCACGCGACGGTGGAGTCTTCTTCTACCTTTCACCGACATTTTTTGTTAGACGCATATTGTGATCTCGGGATGTACACCTCAGGACGGTTCAACTTGGCGACCCCGTGAGAAAACGTCCATTGGGACGCGTGACTAATGGTCGGTTCGAGGAGCGTCTACGCCGATTTCTGTGGTCGCACTACGCTCCGATCTTCGCGTCTCGCCTTAGAAAATCTAAGCTGTTACACTTTCGTCGGCATCCTCGGCAGAAGGGGAAAAAGCAAGAGAGAGAACACAATCGTTAAAGTCTCTCTGTCGCATGATTCCTAAGTCTCGTATTTTTTCTGTTCTCTGAGCGAAAAAAAAACTCGTTAATGACTTTCTTCAACGGCTCGCTCGAATTTAAAGAGTGAACGCTGCGAACGAGATCAGCTCGTTTTTTGGGACGAGCGTGCGAAAAGTGACGCCGCGGTCTTCAAACGTTTACACACGACCACCATATTGGAGTCATGAAATAATCGCGTAATGTCACGACGTTATTACGGCATTAAAAGGGGTAAACAATTTTATAGTGTCAAGATCAATCGAAAGTTACGTAATCATGTAATATGACGTCGCACCGCTTTTGTTGCTCCTGAACGCATTTATAAATTTATTAATTTTATATAAACATATATAATATGTAGATTATATAATCTTTGTACACGCGCATATTTTTCCAAATATACATTTTCAAAAACTGTTAGAATTAATGTAAAATCTATAAACATTCTTAGAAGAACTTAGAAGTGTAGAAGAACAATTAATAAAAGAAACTTTATGATTTTTTCAGAAAATCAAAAATTGTGTGCGTACGAAATGTTTGCAATATACATAAACATAATTTGTAAATGCTTGGAAACAGAAATGAACAAAGACGTGAAAAGTTTGTTGAAAGCAACAGATTGCAGAAATAATTAGGAGTGCTTGAATACAGCTGTTGCGTGCACGCACATATAAGTGGAAGCAGTTTATCTACGCGTACAGCAGCACTTTATCAATAAAAAGTGGACGTACATAATATATAATCAGCATAACAACCGAGATTATGTGCATATATAATGTATTAATCAGCAAAAAAACTATTACATTGTTATTCTCCGCAGCAACAGCAATGTCGGGTGCAAAGTAGAACAATTGCTACTTTATTGATTACAAAGTACAACATCTACGCGATCGTGAATCACAAGCGTGTGCTGAAATCAACATACAGCAGAGCATGACTGCAAAAAGCATGACGAGAAGATTGATTACATATAAATTTTTTCATCACGCAAGATGACATAAAAAATATTGTTTTACATACATATTCGTATATTACGCGTTATTTTTGATTCTATTATACCTTATAATTTTTATTTTAATTAAAAAATTTATAGTATGAATGTATTAGACAGTTTATTAGAGGAATATAATGAACTTTTTCAACAACTTGAAAAGCACTGTACTAGCGTATCTCGTGATTAAATACCGGAATTTTTTGTTTTAAAAACAAATTGCCTTTGTTACGAGCACGTTCCACCGATTGTCAAAAATTAATTGCGCGTATTTGTCCGAAGAGAGAAGCAGAGAGAGAGAGAGAGAGAGAGAAAGAGAGAGAAAGAAAAATTCCCGTAATTTTCACAAGTTTTTTTTGCAAAAAAACAACCGGCCACTCGCCGACTTTTACAACCAAAGTCGAAGCCGAGTAATTCGCCGATAATTTCGCTCATCGATTACTTACTACAGACGCGAAAGATGTAAAACAGGCTGCTTTCTACGTGCTACAAGCAAAATCTCTTCCCGGGAACGAGATCTAAAGTTCCTCGGCTGTGTTGCGCGCGCGTGCCGCAGCTTTTACGCGGGAAAACTCGACGGGCCGATCGACGGGAATCGTCGGCCGTAGGCGGGTTGAAATTACGCGAACAGTATATTCACCGACTGACCGACTGACTGTGATCCGACGGGGGGGAAACACAAGAGAGTGGAGTCCTTGCAACAGGCTGCACTCGTGAGCAATAACGGTACTCGACGCCGATGCACACGCGACGGCCGGCGTTTCAACGATCGTGCACAATCATACCATCGCGGCGAATGCACAAACGGAACGACGCAAAATCGAAATTCCAATTGATGCGAAGATCCGCACAATGCGACACAACGGTTACGAACAATAAAGAAGCGGGTGGAACTGCAGTTTTAATTGTTGTCCGCGATTTAATTTGGCGCGCCGCGATATATAAAAGCGCGTCGTGGGATCGCGGGACCGTGTACCCCGAACGCGCGCGGTTGCAACGCGAAGCTACTTGAATGCGCTATCGTTGTTCAAAGAACAAAACAATAACGTTGATCGATAACGTTGTGTTGCTAACAACCTTTAATGAGGAGTCATTTGCGCGCAACACTGCCTTTTTTTTTTTATCAACGCTACATTTTTAGTTATTAATTGCGAACGAGTAGGAAAGTTTCGTGCTCCGTTTTATCGTTGTTTATTTATTGACACATTTATCCCCACTCTCTCGCGCTTCTAACAAACAAGCCGGATACAAATATATTTCTCGCAACTAACTTTTACGTCACGCTGTGCGCGCAACATCGTTTGTTTACATGGTTCAGAGCAATTTTTATTTTTTATGTGCACTTGCTTTTGGACCACTGACCAAACAAAAGAAATGCAAAATGTCGCAAGAGAAAAAGAGAAAGGGAATGGCAACAGAAACCGAATAAGGAGATGACATGCGTTTGTACTTAAAGTTGCGCAACACGAGGAAGACGTTTTCGCGCGTAGAGTGCTATCGCTCATCCCAAGAAACGAGTCATTGTTTCTGGTCAGGTTGAGAGTGCAGTGCGCTGGACGCTGACACGATAAACAACGGTTAGTTCACCGCATGATATTTCTCCCGCGGGGGAAGTATATCCTATCACTTTCGCGAACTGCAGGTTCGCCGTTTGGTTGTTGCGATGCGGTTGCGCGAAAACCACCGAGTGAAGAAAAAAGATTGCACGCCAAAAAAGAAATTGTTGCGTGAAGAAATGAAAAACCGGCACTTAATTTTCTAACTTTCTTCTCTTTCTAAGCAAAATAAGTGTGTCGACGATATTGAAATCCCTCTTCTAATGTAGACACACACACACAGAAGGCGAGGCAAACTGAAAATTATACTCATCCGAGCCAGCTTTTGCAAAATGTCGGATTAAAGGTTAAAATCCAAATAAAATATAAACGAAGCGAAACTCGAACACAGTTCGCGTCGTCTGCTCGCTTCACCGGAGCCCAAGTGTAACAGAACACACTCGAGTAAAATACATTAATTTTCCTCTCGTTTCCTATTGTTTGCAGTTACGGTCTCGCGAAAACGTAAGTAACGTTGTAAAGAGCGTAGTATACACGTGCACTTAATTGTAATTAAACGAACTATATTTAAACGGGAAACGTTGAATAAAAGTAGTTCTAATTGCAGAAAAAGAGTCATATTTAAAATTGCATTATTAAATGTCTCCGCGCGTCCCACGCTAAACGTAACAAGCGTTACGTGCGTCAGGTGTGTTTCGACAGGAACACAGTGTTGCAACAGTCAATATGTGTGTTGTTCATCTTATGATCATCGAATGTAGCTTGTCTTTCATTATCTCTACTCGTGCTTTACGTGGGCGTTCGTTGCCCAGAAATTCCCTTACTGCGTTGTTAACAAAGCAATAACTTCCGGCTATCGGAATATAAACTCTCAGTATTACAGGCGATAACACAGCGATAAAACAGGATTTAATTTTAAAAACCAGATTGTTTAATTGTTCCCGCGGTTCGCGTTCGATATCAGCGCGGCCGTTAATTATTGCAACAACAAAAAAATCATCGCGTGTGATTTAATTTATCAAATAAATTATCACATTTAATAATATATTGTCTTTTCAATATATATTAATGTCATTTTAAATTGCAACAAAGAAAACGTCAATTATTCACACGCGATCAAA